CAAGAAGGAGGACAAAAGACAGACAGAAAGACAAACAGAGACAGACATGCAAATCAATCCTAAGACACAGAGGCACACATGAATTGACAGCTATCTAGTTGGACAGATTCATGTCTGAAATAAACATTGATTGAGGTAGTCCTCAAGATTTTAAAGAGTTTCTGAGCTACTTCACTCAATGGTGGCCCCAAATGGTAGCAGGAAGTAAGTGTTTGAATTTAAAAACTCAGCAATCGTAACTAACTAACTCTCTTCTACTTCTGGTTTGCGAAGGTGGATTAAGCCACTGATGGTAAGTCAAAAGGTCAGGGTGTAGTTGAAGTGAGTGGCGTCCAGTCACATCAGAAGTCAGGAAGGTCTGAGCGGAGGGAGTTTCACACACTGTTCCACCATCCGACAAGCTTACTGTGGTTGAAGCTTACTGACAAAGTCCAGTTCTCCCTTACTAAATGACCAGATCTGACAAATGACTAATATCATATAATAGTATAATTATTATTATTATGTAATGTATTAGGTAATATTTTTATGTAACATTTCCTCTTGCAGTTTTAAAGGGATTCTTCTGTTGTACCGGCACAATCATCTATTTGGTTGTTGGGGTTTAAAAAAAAAAGGATAAAGAGACGAGAGACTAATACTATATTAATTATATTATATTTTAATTATACTTATTTGCATGTATAGATATGCATAGATGTATAGACGGCGGAATATTTCAAAATTATCCAACAAATTACTTACTGATAAGTTACACAGCTTGCAAATGTCATGCCATTTATTAGGTTCAGCCATCTTTCTCCTTGGGTTATTAGACTGCCCTCTTCTGGGTGCACTGAACTACATATGACCATATTACGCCAGAGACTAGACTCTATCCTCCATAAAGATTAGAAAAGATCACTTTTAAGTTTTGTCATAAAGTGTTTATCACTTTAAAAACTTTTTTAATATTTTTTATTTTTTATTTTTAATATAAAATGTAAAACCTTTGGCTCAAATTGTGCTAGCTAGAGGATCACTAAAGGTTTAAGGAATACGAGGCTAGATGTGACAATGCTTACAGATTCATCAGTTATATTAGCTTTATTCTTAATTTAGTTGTTGCTTGGCTGCAATTAGGATTTTAGTTTAGTCATTTGTTCTGAATATGAACAAATGAACCTACACGTGGAAAATGATGAGTTTCCACGTGTAGGTCTGAGGACTTACGTAGGATTATTTGGGCATTTACACAAGCCTGACTAATTGCCTGACATGTGTGGGTATGAGCAAATCGTAGTCTTCAAAATTGTTCATGAATCATATGTGGGGTTTTCCTATTTTTACTAATTAAGGAAATAGGAAAAACAGAGGCTCAGGGAGACGCTGGGAAAACAGGATCGTGGCGCAACATAACAGGTGAATATGACTTTAGACATTTAGATGGAGTAGACAGGAGAGCAGTGGGCGGGATGGGATATTTGGGTTAACTGACTTAAACATCACAATACAGATTTTTTTTTTTTACAATGTAATGTGTAATGTATGTAATGTAGTGCCAACATGTCTCATCAGTTTAATGATTCTCCTCTTTCATTGTCAGTCACAGGTTTGTGTGTGGAGTGCTGCTCCAGCAGTATTTTGTGGGGATTTTAGTGAGTTCAACCTGCGTCGTTGGCCATTGGATTTGTCCTGCATAGCCTAGCCCAAATATGTCAAGCGTGACAATATTAGTCATTTCATGCCAAAATAAGAATAGTGGGTCATATTCAACCCTCCTCCCCCTCCTAAATTCGTGCATGCACACATAGACGCACACACACAGACACTTTAGCCTGTCGCCCCTCACCCTCCTTCTCCTTCCTCTCTCTCTCTCTTACACACACGCACGCAAGCACACACTCAGCATGCTTCATTATACACTTGCCCACACAGCATAGCGTGCCGGAAACAGACTCAATAGATGCCAAGCTCCCAGTCCCTGCAGGCTCAGTGCCCCTAAAACACTGGATGCACCTTCCCAAATTAGGTTAATTTGCTTTTTCCACAGAGACTGCCCAAAACACAGTCTAGTGGTTCCACAAACAATTACCACAGAGAAATAATTAGATTATTTTTTTGTGTGAATTCCAGCTCTCATCAATTATTAACCTGGCAGGGTTTAATAATCAGCCTAGCAGCAGCGAAATAAATATGAGCTATATTAAAATTATGATAATGTAAACAATTGAAATGATGTAGCCGGATACTGTATATGCAATTAGACTATTTTGAAAGTAGGCTATATCACCCTTTGATACACTACAAAGAGAGCTCTGATAAATCTTATACATGACAAAATCATTGTCAGTTGTGGTTCTGTTATACTGCTTTGTAGCTTAGGCAGAGACAATAATCAAACCTGAGTACAAATTATTTTTTCCCCCTTTTGTCACGTTCACCAGTTCTTTTCTACTGTGGAGGCAGATAAACAGGCACGGAAGGTAGGCTAGACTTGAGTGGGTGAGCGCAATTTGCATCAGAGCAACTGAGTCTGCACGATTCATAGACGGGCCCATAAATAGCACGACATGCATTGCAAATGAAATCATAGCAAAGATCTCTCTCTCCCTCTCTATTAGGGTGGGTGACATTGGCCCATATTAAGACACAGATTAGCTTTGGCCAGCCACAAAGAAATAAGGGTAATGATATCACATAAAATTTCTGTCCAAAGTAATTTGTAAACCATCTATTACCATGAAACGATTGGACCTGTAAAACCCCCGGAGGAAATGTCTGGCCGTTATTTCACATTACTTCTGAGGCCATGAAATAAATGCACACAACCCAAACAGAGAATGGAGTGTGATCTATGCATGCAAACAGGCAGAGCTCAGCTAATGTGATTTCGTTGCGTTGCCTGTCTGCATTTTGTAGCTTATATAAGCTAATAATAAACGTATTCTTACAAACAAAAAATGTACTTTATTTAAAGGTCTGGTGGGTAGGATTTAGTGGCATCTAGCGGTGTAATTGCAGGCCGCAACTCTGTTGCTTCACCCTCCCCTTCCAAGTACAGAAGAAGCCAAACTGTAGAAACATGGGGGTTCACCATGGTGGACCGGCTGTAGATAAAACGGCTCATTCTAAGTTAACCTACCTATATACAGGTAATTATACACTAATGAAAACATAGTTATGCATATTATTTTCAATACCCACAGGACCTTTAAAAGGTAGGCTTACTAAGCCTTGAACTCCTGGCTGGTTCATGTCAAGCCTGCCATGTGTAGCCTCCAGCTGCCAAATGCATGAAATTAAAGTGATGAGAATCCACACCAATGGTAAACAAACACAGAAAAGTTGCTGAGGTCTACAGATGGTCCAGGCAGGGTTGAGATGGCCTTCTTAGGGAATGCTGGGGCATTTTGGAAAAATGTCCTGGAAAATGTTTTAATTTTTATTTTATTTTGCAATATATTACATGCTACGGAAGCGTATTGCATTCACTTGAAATTTTATTTTTTGGTCTGTTTGTTGGAGTAATTTTTTTTCTGTTTTTCAGAGTAATTTATTTTTATGGTTGGTTTTTCGTAGTAATTTTTTTCCAGATTTTCTGAATAATTGTTTTTTTCTGTTTTTCTGACAATTTTTTTTCTGAGTTTAGAGAGCATTTGAAACAA